GTAGTATTTTAGGAAGAGTCAATGTGACAGGTGTAAACTTTTATGCATTCGCTCTCAAAGCCAAGTGGGTTTCAAGGTCAGTGGGAAGATTTTTAGATTAGATGTGTGTTTTTAAGGGTTACAGGCCTTAATAAAATGGTTAGGATTTAATTATGTGTCTACTGTTTTCCACTTCTAATTAATATTTGTTAGAAACATTTGAATGTCATGTCACGTGCAAAATTTAGAAGCCCAAAATCACAACAAATATAAGCTCAGTATCATCCAGCTCCCTCGACTGTCTGGGTGAAGTGATCAGAGCTTTTTTTTTCTTTGCTGCGTCTCATTGTTCAGCGCTAAAAATAACTTTCTAATGTACGAGTAAATCCTTCTGTTATCTTCTCAACATCGTTTAATCACCCCTCACTTATTCTCTGTGCCATTACAGAGATTAAATCCGCAGTTCTCTTCATACCTATTTTTTTTGTCTTTCAAAGAGGAATCGAAAGAAAGGTCTGCTCGCCTGAAATAGATAAGCTGTCAAAAAGTGACTACAGCCATGCAGCAAATGATTTGATGTGTGAGAAATCATCAGAATCTGATGGTTTCAGCATTGAGATGCCATGAGATCAAAAAAGTTATGTGAACCTATATGTATCATATAATGTACCTCAAAAAGGTCATTAGTGCTTCTAATTAAAGTTCCTATTCAGCTCAACATTATACTGTAATTTTCTGCACTGGTACCCCTGCTCTTTATAGTGACAAATTACTGGTAAGTGTGTTGTGGTCTTGCAGAGCCCTCTACAGACCAACCAGTGGTACTGAAGGTTAGGCGCCACGCAGCTGTTGTGCAATATAGCACACGTCAAATATCCATATTTATTGAGGACTCCTGTTTACTAATAATTTCGTCTTCTCAGGTTACCATCAGCATAGAGCAACAGGCCACTGAGTCCAGTCTGTGTGAGAGAAATACTACCGCAGGTCTCAGCACTCAGGGTAAAGACAGTTTGAATATTCACAGTGCTATTTGTTCCTAAATATCTTTTTCCACTGGTGATCGTGCTAATGATGCATTTTTGCAGCCTCAGTGGACAGTGCCTCTCTCATGGTGTCAGAGGTGGCTGACCAGGACCAGACTTGCTCCTCAGAGGACTTGTGCTCCCTGGAGGTCCAGGGCTCTGACTCCTCTCCCTATGGCACGCTCCACACTGCCCCCACTGATGGAAGCTGCACCAGCCTGGAACTGTGTACACGTGATGCCTCACGTTGCCGCCGTGGCTTGACTAACACTGATGCTCGCCCTAGTGATACTGGATACAGTGAGTCCTCACACACGCAGGAGTCGCTGGAGCGCTCACCTGACTGGTCCTCGGAAAACTTTAGCAATCTGGACCAAGAGGACTCAGCAGAGAACACACATCTACGTGATGAACTCAAGGCTTCAATGCACATATGCGACGAGCTGGCCTCAGCCAAGCATTTACCAGAGGAGCCACCTAAACCCACGCCACACACCCTTATCAAAGCAAGAATGACAAGCCGGAAGCTCACACTACCGGTTACTATCCCCCCGCCACCTCAGCCTTGCTCCCCCACCTCTGTGGCTTCCTCTGGTGGAACTTCAGCTTTCAGCCCTTTGGCTGCTTCCCCTTCCCCTTCACCTCCTGCCAGGCCACGCGGCCCAAGGCTGTGTTTCAGTGTTTGGTCACCTTCCTCTGCATCACAACCCCCCTCTACCTCAGCCCAAAATGGACACTCACCTTCAGAGAAGCCTCGGGTGCTCCGAGCAGCCAGGAGGTACCGCAAACTGGCACGCATTGTCCGTTCCACCAGTGACCCTATCTCGTGCTCCACTATGACAGGAAGTAAGTGCAGCAAATATGTTACCGTTTTACACTGTAAATGGCCTGTACACTGCAGCTTAATTAGTCCATCTAAGAATCATCATCAATCTTTCACTTCCAGATTCTCCAACATCATTATTTGCTGCATTTTTCTGGGTTTTACATTTAAAATACATTATTTTTTCAGCTTGTTTTTGTCCTCTGTCTACAGGAGAAAATTCTGGGTGCACCCCTGGAACTGATCCTGCTACTGAAGAGTTAGCTCATGCATCACCAGATCAGGGTAAGAGCGTATAAATGATGAATTCATGTGATAGTTAGGGAAACATCAGAAATTTGCACATCTGCTGCTATACAGCACTCTCTATTTTGTGAATCAATGTAACCTGGTTGGCTTACTGTAATAAAGTAAAATGCATTGTCAGAAAGAAGAAAATAGTGTTGTGTGTAAAGATGATTGCAGCTCATTTAAAACTGGCTTTGGCATTCTCTCAAATGCAATGCAGTCTTGTAAAAGCCATGTTTCTCAAGAAACTACAAGTGGCATTAGCTCTAATTTTAAGAACTGTGTGTGATTTAATGCGGGGTTTTTTTGGTTGTTATTGTTTTATTTTTGCTGCTTTTTCCCCTCCTTAGAGCCAAGGGACAATTCAACAGAGGTAGTTGGAGGTAAACCCACACATATGTCTGCCAGGAAGCAGCAGAAAGAGGGCAAGAAAGTTGACATCCACCTTAAACCCAGATCGCTCCACACACACTCCTCCAACGAACGCCCACACTCCCTGGCTGACCTTAAGATGTACAAAGACACCAAAATACTAGTGGCTAAGTTCCTGGAGCACTCGAGCTGCAGTCTACCTCCTGAAGTCCAGCAAGTTGTCAACAACATCAAGTGTGTCATTAAATCGGATGAGAAACACATGGAGGAGGCCATCTTTAGTGCAAATGTCATAGATCAGGTAACCTGAATATATCATGGATAAAAGCCTTTGATAGTTCAGTGCATTTTAGAAATCTGTATACCTTCTGGCTTTGGTCGTTAGTGGTGAAGAAAAATCATTAAACTGGACCCGCTTAGCAGTGTTTTACAAGCTTTTTACACCAAAACCAAACATACAGGGATGAAAATCAGGAAGACATTTTGGATTGGCTCAATCAGCATTTTTCTATTTTGAACACAATATTGTTATTATTATTGTTATTATTATTATTGTGGTGAAAACATTTCAAATATTTCAAAATAATAATAATAATAAAGAGCATGTGCATTAAATTTGGAAAAGAAATTCCTATTAATCAATTTTATTTTCAGTACTGCTATTTCAAAGGGTTTATCAGTTTGAATCATGTGTTAAAAATAGTCATTTGTTATTGGATAAGTACCTCTGCATAATCTGTAACTTAGAAACATCTGGAGACTTCAAAAAGATACATAACTGAATTTCATCTGTATTGAAGAGATATGAAATGTCTCAAAATGCCTCTGTTATGTGTCTGTCACTGACTCTTGGTGGTTTGTGCTCAAAGGTGATGACCCAGCGCATCATAGGCAGTCCCAGAAAGCGTGGGCATGAGGATCTTCATCTCCAGAGCTGCGGCGCTTTGAGTTCATCACCGTCCCCTTCCATGCGCCGTCCAAAACATCTCCCACAAACATCCACTGCCTGCACCAATCCACTGCGTTCCCCCTCCTCTGAACAAAGCCTTGAGTGCAGAGAAACTATTCTCTGACCACTCTCCTAACAAGGACTTGGGTCTAAACTCTGAGGGCATTCCAGGATGCTGGTGTTGCAGACATGCTGCCCTGGGAATCTGATGTCTGTGAAGCGCTTAAGAACTCTTTGGGTGTTGTGAGATCGTTTCTTGAACAATGTGACTGCAGCACAAAGCTACTGAAATGCCTTCATACTGTATTCCCTAGTGCCCTGTGAGACTGTGCCAAGTCATCAGCAGAAATGGTAGCAAACTCAGAATGAGCCTACCTGTGTCTGTAGTGGCTTATTTCTCATCAGAAAAACAAAAGAATGTTTCTCCCTCAGGGGATCTTTTCTACTCAGTTTCATCTCTTAAAAAAGACACAAATACGCAGCTGGTAAGTTTGGATCCGTGACTGAAAGACAAAGGAGATTGTGTAATCAGTATTCCTCTTGTCCTCATAAGAAACAGAGAAAATACATGTTTGTATTAAACTGTGAACTGAATTGACAGGACATTGTTTGCAGACTTTGTGGATTTGTTACTGATAGGGTGGTGACTATTTTGTGGTTCAAGAACATCACAGATGTGGATTATTTAACTTACCTCATTGTGTTACAATTCTTATCCGTGTTACAATAAAATATGCGTTTGTATTTTGTTGTTTGTGGGTTTTTTTCTGTCTTACTAGATTATTTATATTTGTCTGCAGGTATTCACATTTTGGCTTTGAAAAGGAGTGGCTAAAGTAATGAAAACGCCAGGTAATGCAATTACCTGGCATGAATTGCAGTTTGGTGAAGCTGTTCCAGTTAGTTCCAGTTAGACTTTTGAGTTGTTGAGTAATAGAAATGTAGAAATTTCAATAATTTTCATCAGTTTATGGAGATTACATTTTTTATTTACTTTAATTGCGCAAA